CTCGCTGGGCTATTCTGCCGTGAGCGGCTTAGTAATAAATATATGGGTCTATATTGTAACGTAATTAATAGCATAGAATAATGAAAGTAGGGACGTTTATTTTGATGTAAACTGTTTTGAATTAATTTGTAGACATGTATTTCAATATCATAACATGAAATACTATTTGATACAGGTATCCTTTGACATTGTCACATGTATGTTTTTAATGTATGCAATATCTTTGCAATACAAATTAACATAAAATATTTTAGAGAGAAATATTTTAAAACGAATCAATTATTCAATAAAAAATATTTTCAGAAAGATTTGCTCTGATATGTACATAATTTTTCTTAAAAGTATTTAAGCTGTATATTCTGATATTATTAAAGCTTTTTATTATTAAATTCTGAGATATATTATTAAAGTAAACTATCTCATACAATTATATATAGTGTCAGAAAAGTTCACTTTTAGAGAGGAGACACAATTATTTATATCACTATCAGTATTATGTTATTAATTATCAGTGTTACAAACAAGTAAATTCGGATAATAAACAAATCGTAAATGAAAAAAAACGGTAATAACGTTACAGGTTTCACTTTCTAAACCTGCTGATAACGAACACATTTGAAAACCGTGTGCACTCCGTACTTAGAAAGGAAGTATAGACATAATAAGAATAGACCGAGCATGTCCAATACTTTAGGAAAAAAGGTCAGGTACAAAGACAGAAAAGATTAGATAAAAAAGATGGAAGGTGAAAACTCTCTTTCTCTTTCTGATCGCACGATAAATGAAAGACGGAGATGTAGTCTCCGTCAGAGTTGGGCATGCATTGCACATATCAGCCAGTTTTTTACTTGCTTCAGTTCGTCCTATTTTCCCTTACCTCATCGTCCCACGCGCAAAGAGTCTCAAGTAATTTGTAGGCTGCGCACAGAGCGATGAGGCAAGGGTGAATAGCGCGAACCGGAGTAACGAATAATGTGTTACCGTTACTCGTTACGCATTAATAAAAGTAATTTATTACTCGTTACCTATTGAAAAATAACTTGTTATGGTTACCCTTATACAAACATCAATATTTAAGATGATTGAAAAGAATGGTATCATAAATGATTAAAATATATGGAAAGTCTATGTTACGGCTTCGGCGCATGATAAGTCGTATAAATCAATATAGGAATTCTATCCATTTCAATCTTATTCAATCATTTGTTATCAAATATTTTACGTAGGGTACTTTAAAGTAGTGAATCTTTATAATTTCGTAATTTTGTCATAAAATTGTTAAGATTTTTTTAGGATTTGTTTTGGTTAATTTATGCACGTGTATTCTATATGTGCAAAGAAACGGTACATTTCTCCTAAAAGTTACAAAATTATTCATTATTGTTATCTAAAAAATATAATTGTGTAAATGCGTTACACTGTTATTATCGTTTTTAATAAAAAAATTTAGATCGAAAATCGACCGAAATGTATCACATGTGTCTAACTCTGTTTTACGTGTGTTTACCCGTCGCAAAAAATAAATGGTTTTACCATTAAAAAAAATCATTGAAAGTGAATGGCTTTTTCAATAGTATTTTCAATGGCAAACTGAATAAGTTTTTGCCAATAGTAATATTTTAACACTGAGCGGTTTTACCATTGGTCAGTGATACTTACCAGTGGTACCAAATATATAAAATATTATTAACATATGGGCATACACAAATACAGTCACATGCACTCCCATATAACTTAATGCTTGATTATTTTGTTAAAATAATAAAAAATAATAATAAATACATCATATTTTGCAGCTTGTATGTGTTTCTGCGTCCGGTTTCGAACTCGAACTGCGTCGGTCATTCAGCCCATTTCCTAATCTTTGTCTTAGTTTTCGTTGCTATTGCTCAATCATAGTGATCAGACAACTAATAATGATTCAAATGGCTCTGATGAAATCTTCATAACTTGTGCTTATATATTAGGTGGTAAACTTAGTTCCTGCGGCTCACAGTTAGATGACGTTAGTTGTAGGTGTAATTTATTTTGACATCTGAAACTGGCTGCATTTTAGAGGTTAGACATTTGTCAATAAAATTCAGTGCGAAGAGATTCATTTAAGCGAGCAGTGCTATTTTTTCTTTTGATTAAATATGGAACGTGATAAGTTGTTTTTTCGACATGTGCTGCTTCATTACTTTGACTTGAAAAAAACTGCAGCTGCAGCTCATAAATTGCTTTTCGAAGCTTATGGCAATTATGCTCCATCGGAAAGAACATGCCAAGTATGGTTTCAGCGATTTAAGAGTGGTGATTTTGATGTCAATGATAAAGAACGCTCAGGCCAACCGAAAAAGTTTGAAGACACCGATTTGCAGGCATTATTGGACGAAAACTCTACTCAAACGCTCCAAGAATTGTCTGCAGCATTAAATGTTACTCCGATGGCTGTTTCCAAACGTCTACATGCAATGGGAAAAATTCAAAAGGAGGGAAAATGGGTACCACACGAATTAACCGCAAATGCCATTGCGAATCGCTTAAACATCTCTATTTCTCTGCTCGCCAGGCAGAAAAAGAAGAGTTTTTTGTGGCGCATAGTGACTGGCGATGAAAAATGGATATACTTCGATAATCCTAAACGAAGAAAATCATGGGTAGACCCTGGCCAACCATCGACATCCACACCAAAGAGAAATATTCATGGCCACAAAGCAATGCTTTGCATTTGGTGGGATATGCACGGCGTCGTTTATTATGAGCTACTCAGACCGAACGAAAGTATCACGGGGGATCGATATCAATCACAATTAAACCGTCTGAATGAAGCATTGTTGGAAAAAAGGCCAGCAGTAGCCAGCAATCGACGTAAAATCATGCTTTTGCACGACAACTCTCGACTACACGTTGCCAAAGCCGTCAAAGAAACACTGATACAGCTCGAGTGGGAAGTTCTCCCGCACCCAGCGTATTCACCAGACTTAGCTCCTTCGGACTATTACTTGTTCCGGTCGATGCAGCACGGCTTGGTGGATACACACTTCAGAAATTACGAGGATGTGCGAAAATGGATCGACGAATGGATTGCATCAAAAGACCAATCGTTCTATCGTCGCGGAATCTACGCGTTGCCCGAAAGATGGGAAAAATGTATAGCTAGCGAGGGAAAATACTTCGATTAATGTATTTTTTGCTTTTGATGTCGAAATAAATGAGTTTTTTAAACAAAAAAACCGCAGGAACTAAGTTTACCATTTAATAATATATCTTTATGTGCTTATAAAACATTGTAATAATATATTTACTACAGATATTGGAAACGAAAACAGTTAATATGCAATGGATATTAATATAATGTATATTGGCGAAATAGTGATGCGATTATTGCTCTTATATTTTTAATTTAACATTATTGTGCATTTGAGAGTAAACGATAAGTTAATTTGAAAAATACATGCAATAATTTATGTATATATACAGGGTGTCTCAGAGTACTCTTATTACACTTTGTGAGAACGTAGAATAGATTGAGTTAATTTTGGTGTCAATTTGGCGTCAAATTGTGTACGCTGTGACCGTTATTCCTCGCGAGATTACGCGAGGAGGACGGACAAAATTTCGTTCCCGCGACACGGTGACGGCCGATCTCACCGTCTGCTCACTCGATCGCTGTGGTAGAGTGACGTGATTCTTTACGAATCTTTGTCTATTACACACGTGAGAAGAAGGTTGAGTAACGACTCTTATTCAAAATTCTCACTCAAATTCAAACAGTTAACAATAACATTTATTACGGTCGACGTAGCAATGGCAAAATATTATACCACTGATCGAATGGTATTCTTATTAATAAGCATCCAGTAGTATAACTAATATACTATTAATTGAATGATATTCCTATTGGAATACATTTAATAGTAAAATATTTTACCACTAACCGAAGGATTTTCCTACTAACCGAAGGATTTTCCTTCAAGTAGTAAAATCATTCGTTAATGACAACGCCATTGGGTCCATATGATTTTATCATTAATTTAAATGATTTTACCACTATTCTCAATGGTAATACCATTAACACTTTTCGCGACGGGATAGCTCGCACATTACGCGCGACTCTGTTTACTTGACGGTAGAGTGCGACGTGAACGGAACATGAAGCCAAATAACGTAAAACTTGACGTTTAACGTGTTAATAAGTTGTATACTTTCGAGAGTCTGTGTCTTATATAGAAGTTATGTTTATTGCGCTGATACTCACTACCGTTCCAAAACAATTACTTATAAGCCTTGCGTTGTGAAGAGTATTGTCAAGGTTTTAGTAGCCGAATTGGTATGGAGTCCCGCCTGGCAAGTAGGATTCGACTCCTGGTTGAGACGATATTTCTCGCAATTATAATTTAGAATCACAGTAATGAGGTATCTCGGGTTAATTAGAAAGGTTAATTATATTAATATTTAGAATTGGGATTGAGGGTTGGTTTGACATGGAAGATTGATTCACCGTATAAAGATTGGAAAACTATTCGGTGCGTGCGTTGACACTATCAAACATTATTACCCTCCCAACATTAGAAATATTCGCTCCAAGATCAGCGTTCGACTCTTATTTACCTATTAATATGTTTAATAAATTATTATAAATTATCATAATATGTTAAAAATGACAAAAGAATTACAATATTTGAAAATATTCTACTTGTATATGTCTTTGTACAGTTATTTTACTCTTTGTTGTAGTAACATAATTGGATTCCTAATAGTCTGTTACGATGTAAAGATATATTACTTAGTTTATTATGAAAAGAGAAAAAATCAATTTCCAGATAGCACATATTTCCAAGGAGAACGTCCTAAAGATGTGTAGCCTTTAAATTAAATTGTACGTCTCTATGTCCTAAAGATGTTCCTAGAACATTTCGAAGATATTGTTTGGAAATTTGTGTTGCCTGGGTATCTATGGTTCGTAACTTATTCTCTATATTGACTCATATTAATGACAATTTTTAACTTAAATAAAGGGTGAAAGACAGAAAAAAATCAATGAAACAGAGGAGTACCGGACCGAGTGCATGAAGAAGCGGCAATATTTACGTCAAATGGCAATCCAGCAATTCTACAAAAGTATGCGGATGTTACAAGCTAATGCAAAACGCGAAAAAAACGAGCCCTTTGAAGATTATGCAATTTCATTGTATCGTCAAACTGCACCAGATTTTAAGGACCGAGTAAAAGATTTAGAGCAAAAAATACTCTATCCAGTAAGCTAAATATCAGGAATGAATAGATGTTTGATGATATTTCTTTTATTTATCGATGTCTGGTGTGCGATTTTCACTCATCAACATAGTATCGTTTTTAAAATATATTCAGCATGTTAAACACTTTTTGTAATTAATACAATTATTACTAAAATTATTGGTTGTATATATCATTAACTCATATTAATTAATAAGATATGTTTAATTAACAAAATTCTTGAATTATTACTATAACTTTAATAAGGTTTATAATCTGGTTTATATATTTTTTTAATAACAAAATTTTGATGTGCTGATCTACAGATTTTACGATAAAAAATGATAAGACATTTAAAATAGGCCATCTTAATCAATTCTTTTATTTTTAGCAATGGAAATAAATGCTTTACTTGTTTAGTTTCAATGCCAAACTCGTTTAGTTTTATGAGTGACGTTCGATGATGATATTGTTTTAGTTGTAAGCTGAAGGACTAAGGCTATTTCAAAGTCATATACTTTTTTTAAATGAATTGTTATACCTTTTTATCAATTTTCTAATAGAACGTTTTAAAACGCGTATAATAATGTATAATCCAAGGTCTCTCTCTCTCTCTCTCTCTCTCTCTCTCTCTCTCTCTCTCTCATTTAAGATCAGTTATAAAAAAAAATTATTTAAAATAATAGATCAGATATTCTGGTAATTTATTAACTTTTATAAACAGTCTGTCTCGGACCACTATTCTCAAACTTCGCGAGAGTGTAGAACGAATTGAGATCAAGGATTGAGAATAAGAAAATCCCATATCGTTTTGCGATATTTGTGATAGTTTTCGAGAAATTTAAAAAATTACGTGAAAAAAGAAGGAGCACTCGAGCCGCTGAAGTCGCTCAAGAATTAACGCGTTTCAGTTGGTTAAGAAACGGATAGCGGCGCGCAGCGAAAGGAAAAACAACGTGCCTTATGTGATTATTTGCGAAATTTGCCAGTCGATGTAGCTTGTTTACTTCCAACTTGTACATTATGCGATACCTTAAATAGTGCAATGTTAAGTCATATTTTTTCAAATGAAATAGAATTCATTGTTCAAAATATAACTGATTATATACCGTTTTTTTAGAAGGTTTCCGAAAACTAAATAAAAGAAAGTGAAGAAAGTAATTCTCGAGTAGGAACTGGATTAGCGAGAATTGTAGAAATAGAAGCACAAATAATGGTTAAAATAAATATTGGTGTTATTTTAAATCTCGTGAATAGTATAATTAATTATATAATGGTATAATTAATATATAATTGGTACAATTATATCAATAATACGAATTGCTAATGACAACTAAATAGAGAAAATAAAAATAATGTTACTATGGGGAATTAAACATATAATAAAACACAATAGTTTAAGTTGGAAGAAAGAGTTGGATAGAATGCTGGTAAGGAAACAATTTCCAATATAAAAATTTCCAAATGTGTTTAAGTTATAGTATGACTATTCATAAAAGTTAAGGATTGAGTTTAAATCATTCTGTTGTAGAATTAGGAAATTCTATTTAGCTGTGAACAAATATATATTGTTTTTTCACGAATAACTACGCTAGATAAGCTATAAGCTATATTGATAAATTTTGATCCTTTGTCTATAAAAGGACGACTTAGTCATTAAAGAATATAACAAATTATAAAGACCATACAAACCAGATCTTACTAATATTAATATCTAAATAATGGCTTCGAAAAATACATGATTTAGTTTAGGTTGCACCAAAATATATCTCAGTGTTCAGTATATCGCTAGAAATCCGCGTTAAGGCTTTAGTTCTCGCGATTTTATCAGCCACTGTACTTGGTCGGTCTGATCGTCTGCGCTCGATCGTCATAAATTTCTACCGTTCACCGTTGGCACGCTGTAGTCAGTCTAAATGCTGGGTCGCCGAAGCACACATACGTTTTAAGCAGTGATAGAAGAAGGCGTTCAAATTATTTATTCTTAACGCAATTGATCACCAGATTCCGGACCATGACTTTGGGGATGCGAATAAAAGTCACAAGTACAAGATAAAATATAGAAATTTAGACAAATTACATTTTATTGCTTTAATTGCCTGAATATTAAAAAAAAATCATATACTTTACAAGAATTAATAAAATGTAACTTTCCACATTGATGTTCTCATTAACATGAAATAACGTTGAAAAAGTATATATCCCCAAAAAACTTACCGTTTTTACAAAACAGTAAAAAATACGTTGAGTATTAAAAAAGAACCTATGATTCAGTAAAAATGTAAAAATACAAAAATAGATTCAGCAAAAATGTATCTTTAAAAAAATATTTAGAAAAATTGTATTCAGCAAAAATATATCTTCAAAATAATATTTAGAAAAATTTTGTTAAAAAAAGATATGAAATCTATATAAATTGTTGAGTATTTGATCTCACACTATATGAAAATTAAAAAAAAATAAATATTAAAATTATCGTTCCAAGGCTAACAATAGCGGCATACTTTGTCGTACTTCGTAATCGTTATTCGGTTGACGCCGCCATAATAATAAAATATGGCAATCCTATTTCTGACTTATTTCTGGTAAACTTTGTTTTAAATGTGTGATGTATTTTCTATAATCTCATATACTTATTATGCCAACTTTCTTTGTATATAAGAAATAATAATTATATATAAGAAATATAAGATTTTTTAATTTATTTCATGCAAAAATGTGTGAAATTATTTCACATTTGTTATAATTTTTATATATAATTTGTTATAATCATAACAAAAAGACCTTACAATGGTAAAAATTACTCTAAATATATAAAGGCGCGTGAAGTTTAATAAAAATCTATCATATTCTAACGATTTAATACTATTCCAAGAGAGAACGATATCATTTCTTTTAGATTCGATACATCGAAACGATACATTAGGATAGAAAACAACTAAATTCTCTGTAAATTCGTTCAGTTTCTATTATTTTTTTCTTGCTCTTTCTATTTTTGTTTTAATCACTGAAACTTATTTGTTTTAACCCTTAGCTGTCCCTCCGGGGTCAAATTGACCCCAGCGATCTTTAAATTTCTGTAAATATGCCCAAAATTTAAAAATGGTCTATGTGACGCCATCTGTTGTCAGTTGGAGGTCCTAACTGTCGATTAAAACGATGAGTATAATTTTAGTTGCCTTAGTCTACTGTAGGCAAGCGCGCAAAGTCGACGTTAAAATTTGTGGGGTCACTGTGACCCCGTGGGACAGGTGTGTTAATTTTTTGTGTGTGCGCTCCGATTTTTTAAAAGTGTTTTTGGGTACTAAAATTTGAAAAAAAATGTAAGTAAACATTTCTGAGATTACGAATTTTTTGGTGTGTAATTTAAAATAAAGTAACATCTGTCCAAGAGTGCCTTTCTCGATTAAAAATGTTTCTTGTCAAGCCCTGTCTTTAAGAAAGGTATTGCATGGTTTCACTTCGCAAGTCTTTGAAAGCTGGTATAGCAATGATACTTGGGATCGATGAATTGCGACAAGAAGCATCTGAAGATCAAAATTTACCTTCTCGTAAGCGCTGTGATCTGTGTCCCAGACATAAAGATACTAAAACGACAATACAATGCTTATCGTGCTATCGTCCAATGTGTAATAATCATCGCATGTATCTTTGCATTGATTGTGGGGGTAGGCAGGAGTAAAATAGTTCGCAAATTTGTAATTTAAATTTTTCTTTTACTTTTTTATAATAAAATAAACATTCTGTAATTTTTTAAGTGTTTTTATGCCGAAATAAATTCATTTTTTTATTAAAATTCAATGGTTTTCGTTATACCTAAAAAACACAATTTTCTCAGCATTCAAACCTTAAAATAAATACACTTTTTGAATAGCTCCAAAAAAAAAAAATTATTTCACGTTTAAACAACATATCCCCCGAGTATGGAACCATTTTTTTTTTTTTTCGATTAAAATTGAGTCAGCTATGAGTATTTGACTGAAAAAAGTCATTTTTTAACTTTTTTTTTTCAAGATTTTTTTTTTATATTAAAATTTTTGTTTTTGCCTACAAAACCAATTAGCATTTGTTCTCCAATATCTAAGACATTAACAAGTATTTTTTTTATATAAATATCATCATTACTTTCAAAGCTACGACAATATTTTTGACGTGGGGTCAGATAGACCCCATGGGACAGTTCTGTTTTTCCCGGAAGGTGGGACAGCTAAAGGTTAATATAAATTATATGTATTATTATATTTCAATGTAAGCTATTTTTGCTGTTTCATAAAGTAATATTCTAAATCGCGAGCAAGTCACAGTTATCAATGCAAGCTGACACGGTGCAGCAAGATGTAGAAGCAGCGATATAAGTACGCGCAGCGGCACTTGTCCTGTCCTCTCGCCGCGCGCCTCCATTTGTTTTTAGACCAACTAAACCGCGTGGCTTTGATGGCTCGAGTACTCTTTCTTTTTTCACTCGATTTTTTAAAAGTAAGATCTCGAAAACTATTGCGAATGTCGCAAAATGATACAGGACTTTCTTATTTACTTCAATCCTTTCTACGTTCTCGCGAAGCTTAAGAATGATAGTCTTAACTCTCAACTTTTCACTCAACTTTTCACTCTGTATACTATGCTATTGCAAATGTTGAAAGTAGTGATACTGAGTATCGATGTCTGCTTTAAAGTGATTTGTTATGGAAAATATTTTTAAATAAATTTTTAACTGAAATAAATTATAACGATAATGATAATATAGTTTATCGATTATTATATATATTACAAAATGTAAATAAACATTTAGTTACGTTATATGTTTACTATTTATCTATATTTATAAATAATATTAGTTAAAGAATATTACGATAGTCATGATTCTTACCATAAATTTATTTTAGTATAAAATTATTTCAAAGCGTATTTTCGGTAGTGAATTGCTTGAAAGCAATTCCCCTCTCTCTCTCTCTCTCTCTCTCTCTCTCTTTCTTTCTCTCTCTCTTTTGATATAAAAATTACCATTTTAACCATTTATAAAATA